CTGAACACTAAATAAATAATCTATTATTCTATATCTACTATTATCTTAATCGACATCCGATCGATATCTAACGGGTTATACGGTCGATACGAGGTTATAGTATTATTTATACTTACACAAAAATTATAACAATATATGAGAGGTAGTATGCAGATAGTATACTCGTATAATAGTATACTATCTGCAAACTACTAACAAAAACTAACCAATAGGAAGTATTAAGTCCTCTTAATACATTTTTTTTTTCGATTGGTTGAAATATGTATCTATAATTTTTAATTTTAAATTTGAAAAATTTGTCAAAGTATGCAAATTAAGCATGACAATTTTAAAATATGCATTCTCCTGAAAAATCTATCAAACATGCAAAATATATATATAAATATATATAATATATATGTAATATATGCAATATATTACTTTCAAATTTTAGATCTGATATCATGGCACCTAAAAACGAATTTATTTTGCACTCTGATATATTTAACAATAATTAAAAAAAGTATGCAAATGATAGAAGTCCCTAAGTCTAGTTATAATTTATAAGTAACAACTTAAAACTAGGATAATAAATACAACTATATATATAATATGGTTTTTTATTTAATTCTGAGTTAAAAAATTGTTATTTTTTACTCAAAATGTTCATTATTTTTTAATTCGACGTAGGTATTTATAATTTTCGTTTCTTTTATTATTCAATATTCAGTGTGCTCTTAAAACCTGATGAAAACCAGCAGTCCAAAATATAAATGTTGTTTTATGTTTTTTGTGAACAACCAAAAAAATAGATTTAAATAACTATAAGTTATATTAAAAAACGATAATTGAATACTTATGTTAAATAGTAATTAATAAGATATTAATACATACCGATTATCACATGAAAAATTGAAACGTCTTGACCAAAATACAGAAATTGATAACCAAAAAATTAAAAGTTAACACTCGTATGTCAGATTCTGATTCATAACGAACTAGAATGAGCCATCACCTAGGTAGTTTAAAAGTTAAAATGAACAACCGATATAATATTGTTATAATATTTTTTGTGTATTTTCATCACCATTTAACCACTACCTATTTAAAACAAATATGTTTGCTGAATAACTGTAGGTTTTTAACAGAAAATCATTGGATATGACTATCACGTTAATAAACAAATAACCATCATAATTCAGTGTTGAGTAGAATACTCTTCTCATAAATACAATAGTATTATCGCGGGCCTGATGGTAGCGGATTATAATGAAATATATAATAAATACCATAGCCGTCAGTCTTTTTGTTCGAACAGTTGAGAATTCGTGGTATGGATACACGCTCATCTCACTCACATCTCGCTAATAACGTAGAACCGAAAGTAACTTTTGGTATTTTTTCGCGCCACCGTATCGTCAAGGGTTTTACTTGTTGTTTGACATGTGTACAAGATGATTATTATTGAAACATAGCAATTATAACTTACATATACTTAATTTACTTTATAAAACATATTAACATAACAATATAAACTAAAATTTTGTTTAAATATATTGATTTATTTTCATTAACTGCAAATTAAAATAACTACTTCACATGTATTGTATTTATTAGATATACGTTAGGTACATTAGCACGAATAAATTTGAAATTACAAAAAGTATTTGTACCTACAATTGTTATTTTGTATAATTTTTTAATCGTTATTTTAAATTTTGTACACCGTCCGCAACGCGCCAAAAACCATTTTTGACCACGGGACGGTAAAGATAATATAGTAAAGGAACTATTGCTATTACTGATTCATTCATCCTCACGACATTAACAGATTTTGTTATAGAATTAATAAACTTGTATTAACGTTTTGTTGATATTTTGTATCTACTAAAAGCAAACCGAAGGTGGTTTGCGTACTTATGCAATTTCATCAACCATGTGTTATTTACTATTATAAATTATAACTTTTTAACTTTTTGCTAAATAGACACCAGTCTTATAAAGTATTCGAATACTTTTTGAAGTATTTATATGCTATTCTGAATACAATTTTTTTTTTTTTTTTTTTTAAGTATTTTGATTATTTCTTAATTGTATTTTTACTAAAATTTAAATACTTGTATTAAAATACCATAAAGTATTTTATTAATTTTAATTTATTATTTTT